GTGGGGGGGGATATGAAAGCGAAATTGTTAATACAAATCTTATATCATATATATTACGTAATACAAAAGAAAACAAAAGGAAGATCTAAGTCATCCAATGAATTCATTTCATAACATAATACTATTATTTACTCGAGTACTGGCTGGTTAAATAAGGCAACGGTATGTATAGTTATTTCTTAATGTATATCAATTGCTACGTGATATTTTATACATTGAATAAAACGTTAGAAAAAGAAATAATATGATGCTATGGTTATCTTCGACTCGATCCCAAAAGAACAATTTAATATTCGCGAATACTTCAATGTACTACTAAAGAATCATCTACTTCAGTTGATGGTGATACTGATGAATTCTCGAAGATGGAATCAATTCGCATGTAATAGCACAAGTCTTGATTTAGTTAAATATTGTAATTATGCAATGTATTTTGAGCTCGATACATACCTTGAGGATGTTGTTGAGCATGACAAAATCGTTCCACATTATAGTTCATTAGAAAAATATATGCAGACAATTGCTGACAAGAAAATAAGCTCAACTATGAGTGATTCTAATTTAGATGCATAAGAAGATGGTAGAAATACACTTAGTGAACAAACAAATTTTATCTGCCAAAATAAATTTTTCCTATAAAGAAAATGAATAACAGCTCAATTTGAACATCATAAGTATTTAATTTTGTACATTATTCGTAGATAGATTGAATAGAAAGATTGTTAACTATGAATTTCCGAACCATGTTTTCCAGTAATATTCTTCGAGTACCGTCTCGTCTATCCAAAGTGTTATTGACAATCTATTACATTGATGCGAAAATCTAGCTTCTTTCAATCTCTAATTCCATGTATTTTTGTCAAACGGCGCACCCAACTCATACATTTTCTTTAGGATTTTGAATGTGAGAGTATGAAGATGTAATAAATATGTTTTCAATATTGGAACATTAATTAAATTTGATGTGCTGATTTCTAGATGTTCTACGTAAGGGAAACACTTGCTAATCACAGCAATATTTACTTCGTTGAATGGATGCTCACTATAAGATATATCAAGATGTTTTATATGAATAATTTGCTTCGTAAAAGTATCTATATTATTAATAATTTGATCGAGTCTTATATGAAGTGAGTTCATCTTTCTTACACATGTGAGAAGTGAAGTTAGTGCATCATTGTTCTCATATAAACGTGCAATATCAAGCTTGATGATTTGTAAACAATTAATATGTGATGTTACTCATTCGAGTAAAGAATTATTGATATTTTCCATTATAAGACATGTCACATGATCGAAATAATAAGGAAACCATACAATACATTTATTGTTATAAGATCATTATTAATAATGTGGTAGGGTGCCATCCAACATTGAACAATAGGTTGATCAAATTCCCATTGATTATAATATCTGACATCATCTCTAGTATGTTCGGTGATCATTATATTAAAGTTTTCTTTCGCTATCCAATATGGACTTTGAAATGAAATAAGTACATTGCCAGGATTATTTTCGTTTAAACGAGTTCTAGTAGTTTGAAGACTAAAATGAGTTAGTAATGGTAATGATGTTTCAAACAACATCTGCCAGGCGTCTGCATTCATAAGTTTGTTGTACGCTTTAATTTCAAGACGATTTAAAACAGGCATACATTTCAAATATTCAGCCAACATATCGATCGATACTGAACAATCTTCTTTGAAAGATAAGAGTAGAGTACGAAGTGCAGACATAATGACAATATTATTTTTTGAACGATTTATTCTTCTCGGAAAGATACTAAGAGATCTTTTTGAAATAATTTGAATATTAAGATATTTAAGATGCGACTCACATTGCATAATATGTTGAAGATCATCAAAGTCAAAATACGTAACAAAAATATTTAAATGTTCAATATTCGATGTGGTATAGATATAAGAATGCGAGTTCATTAAATCGATAGTACTCATAAGAGAAAATCTTTTAAGCGATTTCAATTGAAAAAGCTTGAGAAAAATTTGTTTCAATGATGGATCATTCATAATGTTCATTGTTTTGATGGATAGAGTGTTAACAGTCGTCGTATCGGACAATGAACTCAGCGCATTTTCAAGAATTCTCCAATCAACGAGTTGATAGTTAACATAAAGATAAAGCTTTTTAAGTTTTTTTAAATAATTTAAATGATGAAAAAAATAAAAAAAAGGCATTGACTTGATCAGGTGCATTTTCTTCCGATAAAGTTAATTCTTCTATTCGATCAATATATGCAGGAAAAACATTCATGCACAAATAAAAATCATCTTTTCGACATGAAGTAAAATCAAAACGAAATCGTTGACATTGAGTAATGATTGTAGTAAAACGTTGATTTAATTGACCATCAAAAATTTTGAATACATCAATTCCATTCATATACATGGGGTAGTCAAAAAGTTCTCGGAACTCTCCATATCTCCTCGAGAAAACAACATTTCATTCATCTAATAATGCGATGTAGTGGAGGTACCTACCGTGATGTTGCATGGGAAGTTTCATCCGTTTAGCTCTTTCTTTAGTTATTTTATGAAACGAACAACACGTTTGAAAATGACCCTTTCGGTTATTAGCGTAACTTCACTGGGTTTCTTAGCCCTTGCAAATTCAGAAAGGTGTCAAATAGTATGTAGGTTTTGTGCGAAACTAGTAGTGAGCTTCAGACTGAGATCTGGCGGGACATTGAATGTGTAAAATAACTTTCAAACTTCAAAATATCAAGACGAACTCCGTTTCCAAGCGATATTTTATCAAAAACGACGAGATTTATGATTTCTTTGCGTGATGTTTGATTATTACTCATTGCCAATCGTTGCCTATAGTTCTTAGTAATCTTATCTGCATTACTAATGCGTTTTTGAACGAGTTCATAGAGAAGTAACTGGAGATGAAAAGATTTTCATAATCTAGTGGCAGCGGTTCATCATCATGGTTTTGCAGCACCATGTCAGCGAGCACCGCGCTTCACTAGGAAAGGCGAGAATCAAGTGGCATTGTGTGTACTATTCTCTCCTCGGTCTAAGGTTTCAGATCTATAGTCGTTCAAGGATACTCAGTGTGCAGTTACCAATCGCCAGCTATAAAACGTTAACGCGGGAAATAACCGAAAGGGTCATTTTCGGACATGTTGTTCGCTTCATAAAATAGCTAAAGAAAGAGCTAAACGGATGAAACTTCTCATGCAACATCACGGTAGGTACCTCCACTACATCGCATTATTAGATGAATGAAATGTTGTTTTCTCGAGGAGATATGGAGAGTTCCGAGAACTTTTTGACTACCCTATGTAATTCTCAAAAATATCACATAAGACTTCATTTGGAAGTGACTCAAATTTTGAGATTGGCATTGACTTATAGAAAACAGTAATAGAATACGTCAATTGATAGGGCTTGTTATGATTTGACATTTTCTTTGCATATTTGGTTAGGATTAATGAACGGATGAGAAAGAAAAATAGTTCATGTAATATGATGATCGTGATCACTCTCTCCCTCTGTCGGAAGAAATAATTTCACTTTGAAAAGAATGTTTACATTAATTTTTTTTCTAACTCTCCTACAAACTTTTATTTCTCTTGTTATATTTAACTGTTAATCAAAAAGCATCTTAATGGCCACTTTAAATATCATTTCTCATTCGAAAAACTTATTCATAATTTTTCGATTATAAAGTAGTAAAAGAATTTCATTACAAACCAACAAATTGATCTGTGCTTGTTGAAAAAACGAAATATCAAACAAACACAAAGCAGCCTCTATTGTACTAAGACGAAAACGAGATTGATAATAATTAATTTCCACAATGATACGATAATATCCACGTGAGAATCCTAGTAATTTAACTTTCCTGCCTGATTTTCCTCGTATCCATCGTCGTTAACATCATTTCGAATATTTCTCTCTTGGTCCAGAAGGACGAAAGCTCTCTCTTTTTCTTCTTTCCTCTATTTGTCTAGGTCTTTGTTGAACATAGAATAGTTATCTCGGATCATCATATCATCTTTAATTGTTTTTTTTCATCGTAGATGTCTTTCTCGACGTATACACGTGTACATTTATAATGTGAAAGACAAAGTTTATGTATCTTTTACTTGAAAAGCTATTGAATCCAAAATGATTTCTTGAAGCTATTGTAATAATGATTTCGTTGCACTCAGAATGGACTTCACAGCTGCAATATGAAAATAATGTAATAAATAAACTAACGAGAGCATATGTATCACAGTTCTATAGTCCATTCCGAGAGTTACAAAAATCACTGTTGCAACAAATTATTCTCGATGAAATGATTCCCAAAGTAAAACGCATCCTTAAAACTTGGTCCTCCACTTTATATATGCTTACGTATACATGTACATGTGAAGAATTGTTTCGTTGCATACTTCAATAGAGCAGACAAATAATAAGACATCTTTATATTTAGATAATGTCCGCCGAAGAGCTCATTCGTAAATTCTATCATGGTTCCTACAAGATTAGTAAGTTTGGACAGTTTCTCATTATGAAACACATCACTTTAATTTTCTCTCATTTAGACAGCCATGGTTACTTTGCATGCCCACTTTATGACGACAAGATACGTGAAGATGATCAGATATGCAAATTTTTCGTACGCAATGAAGGTCGTACACTCTCTGAAGAAGAATTCAAGCACTTTTGGTCACATGTATCACTTGTTCATGAAAATATGTATCAAAATATTTTAGAAATGTGTCGATCAAAGATCTCAACCATCTCCAAGATAGATCAGCTAAGCTATGTTTCTTTGAAAACATGTATCAAGGGCAATTGTAGAGAGATTAAAAAAAAACTTTTCTTCGAGAGCAGTTGTAACCATGGTTCGTTTAACAGATCGATTGTGTTAGGTAGTATCAGTACTGACTTCTCCTGGTTCTATCCTCTATTGTAAACAAACTCTCACATTAAACTCATTGTAAAAAGATACAACTAATCTGGTTAAGATAAGCTACACTCACACGCTACACACAATAGTGTGTGTAGCTTATCATTTTGATTTAAACCAATCAAATTGCGTTCCACACAATACCCATCTTTCTTCTGT